CCCCAAAACCCCAAAACCCCAAAACCCCGCTGTACCATTTATACAAAAGATATTGTTTTAGGAAATGAGTTTTAATGTGCGAGAAAGAATTAAAGTTTATTTTTATCACAGTTAAATAATTTTTCCATTAAAATAAAGTTGTCATGGGAAATTAATGCAATTCACTTAATTATTATGGATATTGTTGTACAGGAGGCACCAGCAGTGAGTAGAATCACTTTTCACAGTTTGTGAACTAGTACGAGCATAGCAATCAGGTAGAGAGTTCTAAGGCTCAAAAGATTCTGAGGCCTGACCAGAAGTCTCATCATGCTAATACGCTTAAAGGATATCAATACACCACGAGCAGCACAAACAGCCAAAGCAGAACTCACTAAAAAATACTTGCTGCTATTAAAATACAGTGTCTATTTAGATCTCACTATGCTCGCAAGAAGGTTAAATTACTCCGACTGATTAAAAGCTAAGGACAGAAGCGAATAATGATTGACTAGATTAGAAAAATAGCAGACTCTTAAAACCAGAACGTGCGTTTTATTGAAAGAAAAATGGGTGCAATTATATTCTTTCTTAACAACAAGATCGACAATTCCTTTTCTAAGAATTCATCCCGAGCGTCCGTAAGTCATAGGAAAATTGGCATCAATAGTTCTTACTAGGCTGCTAATAACGGAGACCCTTTTGATTTCAAAATAAATTTAAAACTCCAAAATGGGACTATTTATAGTGGTCAGTTCGATCCGAAAACATAAACTAAAGAAGGATTCGGCATTCAAATCTGGCCTGATGGATCCAAGTATGTTGGTTAATGGTCTAGAGGGAAAGCAGGTGGCTATGGCAGATTTATCTTAGCAGATGGAGATGTTTATGAAGGGGAATGGAGAGATGACAAGGCACATGGTTACGGCATATATTACTATGCAGATGGAGCCAAGTATGAAGGTGAGTGGAGAGATGATAAGCAGGAGGGAATAGGCAGAGAAGAATGGCCAGATTAAAGCAGTTTCTAAGGCATGTATAAGGATGGCAAAAAACATGGGCAAGGTAAGTTCATCTGGGCAGATGGAGCCTGCTATGATGGAGAATGGCAGAATAACAAAATGCATGGAAAAGGAGTGTTCACTTGGACTGACGGGCGCCGTTATGAAGGAGAATATGAGAACGATAGGAAGCACGGATATGGTATCTTTACTTGGCCAGATGGGCGCAGATATGAAGGTCACTGGAAAAAGGGCAAGCAAGTCAAGACCAATGAGAAATCCACTTCTAATCTGCCTACTATATCTCAGGAATCAAAGTGAAGAGCAGCAGCCGATACTAAACATAACCTCTATTATATCACCTTAGAATACAGCTGTCTTGGTGATGGCAGCGCACCCAATATAATTGATAAATGATTAGTTAGTTGATGCATTAGTTAATAATTATCATCAAGAATATAGCAGTAACAATAATGGCTTAATCTTAACTTACTCTCTCCCCTTAAAAGGATAATAATAATAATAGTCTTAATAATATCAAAATTAATCCCCGAACTAATTAATAATTTTATTTCAATATTAATGAAGAATAATATAAGGGAAACTCACATTTTAGACCAGGATTTTGATAATATTCTCTCGGCTGTTGACGATCCTATTTCAGTTATTAACTAACGCAGGATAGAGTAATATAATCGTATTGATAATGATAAGTTAGTGCTTTAGAGTCTCATAATAGGAATAGTGGGTTGAAGGAAGACAGGTACTTGGAGATGAACAACAGCAAGTCGGGCAAAAGGCATATTGCGAATCAAATTCGGAGTCAGAATCCTTCTCCCATTAACAAAAAGAAGACTTTAAGGAGTAATACCTCTAAGGCAAGGAATGAAACTATTGAAGGAGACCTGGAATCCATCATTGACGACGCCTTTAACAGGAAGCGAGAGAAAATCAGTGAAACAGACTAGATTTTACAGACCGGAGGAGGAAACATTTCACGAAGTAAAAAGGGAAGCAGATTATCCTTCGACAATGATGGCTTGCAGCAGTTAATTGACATGGCTAAACTCAGAAGGCAGGAAAGTTGACTCAGCAACTCAAAAGCCAATAACGTCAATGACCGAGATAATCTCAATAACACCAAAGAGAGGTTCGTCTTACCTTAGATTAGAAACAATTCATCAAATATTAAAAAAGAATCATCGACCAAGAATAACTATGTTGATGATGAAACTCCCTGGACACATAGAGTCAAAACTGTCATTGCTACAACAGCAAATACACCCCAAAATATGCTAGGTCCTGGCTTAACTTAGAATAATCCCAAGGTACCAAACATTAATACTACTTAGAGTTTCAATAATACTAAGATCGATCCTTCCCCCCAGATAACTAAGATGAAGATAAGTGATTAAACCCCAGATCACTCCATGATATCCTTTGATAACACAATGCAAATCCAAAAAGATGGAGCTAAGGTTTTCAATAGAGGTTCGCATCTATTCAAGGACGGGTTAAATTAAGGAATAAAAGGAGTTCATAGTCTGGATAATCAAACAGAGAACGATGTGCCTGTCTAGGGATAAGGTGGATATGTTGTGAAAAAGAAACGACAATCGAAAGTTACTAATAATTAGATAGAAATTATTAAGCCTAGCGACAGTGTTAACAACCAAAATGATTCAGTTGTATCCTAAGATGATAAATTACAGTAACACCAATTAGATAATATGAAATTATTACCTATCAAGAAGTATAAGAATGACCTAGATACAACCAGCTAGCTACAGTTAAACTCTTAAAGAAGTAAATCCTCGCTTTAAAACGAAAAGCTAATCAGTAGTAGTCGTGAATTTAATAATAACCTTGGTGGATCTTTCAACCACAAAAATGGAAGAGACAGGGAAAGAGGAGGCTCATTGAACAATAAATCTTCTCATCATCATCATCACTAGGAGAGACCTCGAGATCAAAACCCCAATAACATTAGCAGCACACTTTCTCCCACTAGGCACAAGAGATCTCACAGGAACAATTCAGTAGGTAAGAAGAAGGACTAAGGGCAAAGTCAAAATGGAATTTATTTACAACAGGATCAAACAGAATCAATGATTTAAAAGAAGAATGTTCATTTTAAAGATGAAGTTGAGGGAAATAGTTTGTGTGATGTAGTTGTAATAGAAAGCTATAAAAAATACTACAATAATGGTAACTAGGCTTCTTGTTCATGTTTTTGTTCGATTTTTTGAGGTTAGAGGAGGGATCTAATGAAGTCCCGACTCTGCTAGATTATAACCTATATAATTTAAATAGTAATACTATGATTATGATTGTATATAACTCCCGTAATTGTTTTCAAGTTCACTTTATTACTGCATTCTAATTTCACGGGGTTTTGGGGTTTTGGGGTTTTGGGG